AGAGAGAGAGATCTCCTCTCGACACAGAGCGCGTCACGCGTTCAGTACAAACTTCAGGTTTCTGAGGCGATTGAGCCAAGACGCGCTGCGCTGACCCTCGCGCTTTTCACGGAGTATTATCACACAAGGAGTTTCCTAAACCAGATGTAACTGAGAGTTTTATGCATCATCCTTGTTTCTCGGATCCTTTCATGAAGAAGGGACGTGATGGGACTAAATTTATGTGGGGATTGGGAGCCGCAGTTGAGAGCATGAGCCAGAACGGGCTGTCATTTCACACACGGTAAGAAAACTACACTGTAAAAATGTTTACTTCAATTTACTGTAAGAAACTGGCAGAACTTTTCCTTATAAAAATGCAGTGAGGATGTTGCAAGCAGTAGGGAATGGCATTTTTGGTTGACTATAGCTATTTTACAGTATGAAAAAATTATGTGATTTACCAAAGTATTTAAGCTAATAAATCTGTTTGCTACTGGAAAATGTAATGATAATAACAAGGACGGGACAATGGAAGGCCAAATAATGACTTTGATGTGATAACAATGATAATCAAATAACATGGAAACTGGTATTATGTTACACAAAATAACGTCGGTGTAACACATGACACTAAAATATGCATTAAAAACATTAACAGAATAACATAAACTGAAACTCAAGTGGGCATCGCTGTTAAAACAAAAGAGGTTAAACGAGAATGAAATATAAACAAAGCAGGGAATTCTGGGAATTCCCTTGATTGTTCATACTTTTCAAACATGTAAAGCATATTTTCAGTATTATTTATAGGTAAATGTAGGTTATTTATTTCTTTTTACTTTATTAAACCTGCAAAATAATTAATTTTACAGTTTTTACAGTAAAATTCTCATATATGTCGGCCTAGCCTACACCTAGTGTTATGTAACTTACCAGTTAACAGGTTTTTACTGTAGCCTTTTCACACTATTTTACTGTACAATTGCATGTATTGTCTATAAAATTAATATTTTTTTATCATAAATGGTGTGGGTAATTTAATAGCATTTTTGCATTCTTTTTACATTGAAATTACTAAAAAGTTTTACTCTTTACTCTAGATTTGTTAAACTTGTAAGGCTAATGTTAGAAAAAGGGAAATAAAATAATGAAATTAGTTATAAAAATCTGCCAATGAAACAAGACATGATCATCTCAAAATACATTCTCTGAAATCAGGTCTTAATATACTGTATATTTCAACTTCTTAAATAATAATTTTTTTTCATTTTTATTCAATGAAGGAGTATTTTTTTATCGACAGTTTTACACTCCAGCAGAGATTCCCGATATAGAAAGTTTAATTATTAACGAATATATTTCCAAGCATGTTTGCTTATTTATAGAAGCCCTGCCCATTTCATTATCTGTCATTGATAGACCTTATTTCAAAAACAGTTCATGAAATATAACCAAGCAACTCAGGATTTGTTTATTGTTTCATTTGCTGTACTGCGCTACAACAGTCCAATTTGTGCAATTTGTATTCCTTACACAGCAGTTGGCCTTAATTCCAAAGTTTATTTTTCTAAGTTTCTACGATTTACAGTTTGGTCTTTAGATTACATTATAAGGCATGAAAAGTAATAATAATAATTCTGACAAAAAAATAGGGTTGCCAGCACTTTCTGCATGGACATCTAAAAACCCTACTGCTGGGAATAGACGTCAGTTTTGGCTCCACTCTAGTGATGGCCTTAATGCTAATGAACAGAGAGCGTGATTGATGTTCCTCTGACTTACCTTTTGATTAAAGGAACTTTCTATCTCTTACTAAGCTATGTTTTATATATATTGAGGTATTTACACAATCAGCTGTGACTAACCCTTCTGTGGAACACAAAGTCAAGTGGGTTTGAAAGAACATGAGGGCGAGTAAATTATTTTTTAGATGGACTAACCCTATTCCTATGCAGAGAAAGCTGAATGCATAATGTGCTTAAGTAAATATTCTTAGGATGGAGGACTGGTATATGAGTGACATTCCCATCAGCAGGGTCGCATTGCTGCCCACCATTCTATCATCATGACCACCGGTGAGGACACAGAACCATCCCTGTGGCCGGATCGGGCCCAAACCAGCTTGACTGCACCGGCTCCGGCTGATGGCACATGCCTCGAGGAGGCAGAGGACCTGCCCGGTGGCCTTACTGGAAGTGGCGGAGCATCTTGGGAGTCCACTGGCAGCGTGGCAGAGGTGAAGGAGAATGTGCAGCTTCCATATCCGTCCCTTGCACCAGTGGTGTTCTTCTGGCTCCACCAGAGCACACGACCCCGCAGCTGGTGCCTTGCACTTGTGTGCAGCCCATATCCTTTATATGTGTGTGCTCTCACTTATTTTCAGTTTAGGATGGTATATTGGTTTGAAAGAAGTTGCATTTGCAGTATTAGCACTTACAATGAAAATAGTGCAAAACTTTATCATCAGTATATAGTCAAAAAGAATGAAAATAACAATAATAAATAACAAATAAAGTAAAATAAAAAATTCTGCTAAGTTTTTTGTTAGTTTATGAATTAAACTGATCAAATAAAATAGTTAGAAAAAGACACATAAATCATATTTATTAACTAAATATTAAATACTATATTATCGTCAATATATAGTCAAAGACTGTGCAAATGGAGTATATAATAAACAAGTGAACTAAAAATACTGCAAAGTTTATACATTTTCTTTGCTTATTTATTAATGAAACTGGTAAAATAATAATATAAAAAAGCACAACGCGAAAGTAATTTTCAGTTTAAAATAGCTAGTAATAAATTTTTTTAGCTAAAATAGCCTGAGAATAATCACATTCATTATATATCAACTATATATTATATGCAATATATTAATTGTCAAAATAGTCTATAATAGAATATACATTAACTATTGAATAAAGGAATATAAAATACTGTAAAGTTTATGTATTTTTGTTTATTAAATTGATAAATAAAATAGCAATTACTGCACCTTGTTGCAACAAAAGTAATTTTCACTTTCAGATTAGCTATAAAAAGTCATGAGGACCATCACGTTCTCTGTATATTAACTAAATATTATATACTCTATATTAGTCACCATCAATATATAGTCAAAAAAAATTGCAAATAGAGTAATATAAAAATACTGCAAAGTGTAAACATTTTTTTAGTTTATTAATGAATTAAATCTAAAATTAAATAATTATACCTTTATACAACAACAAAAGGCATTTCAGCTTCATGTTAGGTACAAACAGCCCCTTAAAGCTATAATCATATTGTTTGTTTTTACAGTATACAGTAATTAAACGCTGGCAATTAGACATGCTGTGCTGTTAGCACACCTCTCCCTCTCAGTCTTTATCTGGGTGGAGAACTGCTTTTGTTTCTGTCTCACTCATTCATTGTTGTCCCTCTCACTTGGTGATGTTCGCCGTGGCCGTGAGCCAGCCTCGCGCTGATGAATAATTGCTGCATGCAGCATGGTTTGTCCGTATTGTTCACCTGCTTCTCCCCTCTGTGCAATGAAAAAATCATCAAAATGTTCATGTATTGCATTTTCTTAAGTTCTTAAGGGGCTTTGAGAGGCAAGGCAGCCTGTATGCGAAGAAAAAAATTACGAGAGAATTCTCCATGTTGCGTCATAAATTCCATCCAGGGAGCTTTTCTTGTGCATAAAGTTATGACACCAAAACATTATATTCATAACTCAAGTCTGTGCATATCTCACAAGGATTACCCTAGAAATTTCCATAGTAGTGTCACTCTGTCCCTTTAGTGACATTATTTGACTCACAGCAGAGAAACAAAGCAATTTGGCCACGTCACGTAACCGCATGGTCTTCCCCGTGAGGGGAGTATTTGCTTCTCATGTCTCCTTTCATGCCCTTTGATGTTAACCATGAGACGTGAGAGTATGATTGTGTGTGATTTCATGCACTTCCCAGGTTGTGAAGCATTTGTCGATTTATTTTCTGAAGGGAACATCTTAAAAGGACACAGTGCTGAGGATGTGTGTGCGGTTGAAAATATTAAAGAGATAGTACACACAAAAATGAAAATTCTGTCATCATTTACTCACCCTCAAACTCTTTCAGACCGGTTGAATATTTTTTCTTCTGCTGAACACAAAAGAATATATTTTGAAGAATGTGTGTAACCAAACATTTGATGGTCCCCGTTGACTTCCATAGTATTTTCCCCCATACTATGGAAATCAATGTAGTCCATCAACTGTTACCTAAATCATCTTCTTTTATGTTCAACAAGAAACTCATACAAGTTTGTAACAACTAGAGGGTAAATAAATGATGAAAAGGAATTTTACTTTTGGGTGAACTCTCATTGTGTATTTGTAGAATGCACAGATATTTACATTTTCTGAATGAATGTAATGGTTGTCAGGTTCTGAATCAGGTTGGGATGATGGTTGACTTTTTCGCTCTTGCACTATTCACTGAATGAATGATTCATAGTTTGATATATGAGGAAGAGTGAAATCTCAACTACTTGATATATGATATGTCCATTCAGCAGACTGAAAAACATTACCCCCATTTTAAACATGGGAATTTATTTGTGTTTTTACTCGGATCTTAACAGATTTGGCAGATGTTTGCTGTTGTCTGTCAGTAAATAAAATCAAAAGTCTGATGCATAGAACAGTAATAGCACACCATTACTCAACAAGCCATTCTTTTTTGAAAAGATAGTTCATCCAAAAATAACAGAATGTCATCTGGGCTTGAAATGAAATGAGGATGAGTAAATGAAAATTCAAACTATCGCTGTAACATTTTTAGTATTTAATAAGTGTAAGCAAGAAGGTGCAAAACATATTCAGCGGACTTGGTTTCGGAAGTATTTTAATGATTTTTTAAAAAGTCTTTGTTAAAGAGTTATAAGCCATAAACCACCTAACCAACCTGCTACTAGGTGAATCACAACATTACAAATGATGATTTGAAGCAAAAGTGTAGGCTAGGGCTGTCAAAATGGCTTAAAAACTAAATTCGAATTTTGTACTTAAATATTATCAATATTCAAATTTAAAATGCATCATTTCAGTTTGGGTGAAGAAAAGCTTTTGGCTTCTCTCCTGAGGCCACAAGAGGGCGCATCGAGCAAAATATTACTAATGCACGTTTATTCAAAGCATAAGATAACATGACTATCTGTGAAAAAAGTGCATAATGTTTAAAATAATGTTTATAAACCAATTATAATTAAGTTGCTTAAACAACTATAAACAAAACAGCATCATGTATGTATGCATAATTTAATACAAAGGGCCGAAAGCCAATCACACAGAGTACATTTTTTATTTAAAAACACGAGTTGCAATGGGATGGGGAAAAAGCCCGCCATGAAGTCTCGAGATATGTTTTTACAAAGTTGAACTTGCATTAATTTTACATGGCTTTCTAAACATGCGGCTCTTTTGTGCGAGATGCGAGTGCAACGGTGATAGATGTCCCTCTAGAAAATGCGCAAACTATGCGTTCTGTGTGAACAGCTTGGTTTACGTAAAAAAGATCTTTTCCGCATTGATGTTCTCTTTTCCCGCAATATTTGTCATTAACAATGCAGCAGCGCTGCATCTAGTGGCTTTAACTGGATAGGCTAACAAAAACATTAAAATGCAACGACACTTACATCGTCATCGCATCTCGTGCGCCACTGAGGCTGCCTCCTTAACACACACCTAAAATTCGAATGCAACGTTTTTGCATTCGAATTTTAGGTGTGTGTTTTTTATTTTAAATTTGACGAATATTCGAAATTCGAATTTTTTTTGACAGCCCTAGTTTAGGCTATTTGAAAATTGGACAAAGGTACAGTCATGATTGAAAGAACTATAATCCTATGAAACATTGCGAAAGACATAATCAAATTAAAAACGATAAAGAAATATAAAACTAAAGATTTAAAGATGTTGATTATATATAGAAACAATATATTTTGTTTATTGCAAAATATGCATATATATACACAAATATTTAAGTAGTTTGAGAGCATTGGGAAACTACGCCATTTGCAGTGCTTCATCAGAGATGGCAGGTGCTAAAATGTTCTTGTTGTCGCAATTCTCAGATTGGTGGTGATTTTTTGCTGAATCATGGGTAATGTAGTTTTTCACCAGGAATTCTGTTGTTAAACATGAATTATTTCAAAAACAAGATGAAGTAATGTAGACATATGGCTTCAACAAAATCGATTAAAAACCTCATAGCTCACAGTAGGTCTGTCTTTAATGGTTTGTAAGTTCGTTAAAAATCAATTCCCCTATGGAGAAAATGAGTCCGATTTTTGCTTCTGGAACCCGACTGTTACACTCTATAGAATTAGTGATGTATGTCGTTAAAAAGTACCACTAATTATTGCAGACCACTGTCCTTAACAAAGAAAAACCTCATCTCTGTTCAGCACATTTGTTTCTCAGCCCGCAATAAATATCACAGTAAACATTCATAAACTGAGAAATCAAACATTTACTATAGGATATTGAATTAAACGCACACATACAGTATGCAGGTATGATGCATGCATGCTCAAGATAACCAGCATATCAGAGCATGCATATGTGATATTGTGAGCTTCTAGTGTTATATTTGACAGGTTTTAATTGTTTTATCCCATATGTGGTTGGTTATATGTGTTAATTGAAACCTGGATTCCTGTGTGCATATGTGTGTTTTATTCCTTAATTGCAAGGGCAATCCCACGGGAAGCCCGAATACACTTAATCAGAAATAACAAGCCAGAGCTCGCCAATACCTGTGTGTATGTGTGTGATTGTATGTCCATGAGGATAACAGAGACATTGAGAAAGTGAGGGAATGTCAGATGATGACATTATGTTCTAGGGAGATATGACAGCATTTATATCTCAAGTGTACATGCGTAAATATATATATATATATACACGCACACAGACACAGTCCCCAAGGAAACTCTTAATTACACTGGTGCAAAAACTTCACTGATTGGTTGATCTCCATGGCTACTGTCACTAATGAATCTCCGGGGTTACAGGTGCTTGTCAGCGCTGTCAGGGTAACGGTACTAGTTTCCAAGACAACAGGAGTCACTAATGTAAGCTCAGAGTTCATCCGCCTTAGACCGAGAGAGAAGGGAGAGGAAGTGATGAAGTCGGAAAGGAACACTGACAAAGAATGTGAAAAACCTGATTGTTCAAGACAATTATTAACATTTGGAGCATTTCTATTTGTAGATTTTATATAATTTTTTAGTATTTGTATATAATGTGTTGTTTGTTCTAAATATACAAATGGAATAAAAGGGAATTTCAGCAATTAATTGTCACGATTATGTTC